CTCCTCTGGACATGTCCAAACCACTGTCCCTCCTCTGGACATGTCCACACCACTGTCCCTACTCTGGACATGTGCAAACCACTGTCCCTCCTCTGGACATGTCCAAACCATCTCAGTGTGTCCTCTCTAACTTTATCTCCCAGTTGTTCAACCTGTGCTGTACCTCTGATGATCTCATTCCTGATCTTCTCCATCTTGTCTCTCCTAAGGAGAACCTCAACATCTTCATTTCTGACTCTTCCAGTTCTGTCTCCTGTCTTTTTGTCCATGTCTCTGTCTCCAGATCATACAACAGAGCTGGTCTCACCACTGTCTTGTAAACTTTTCCTTTGACCATCCAGATTTACACCGAGCACTGTTTGCTAACACTTAGCATGATAAAAACAGCTACAAGTCGTGGGATTAACTTACCGCCTTTGTTTGACGTCCTACGAGCGTAAACTTCTGTGATAAATCCACAAAGTAAAATATTATTCCTCGGTATGTGATGAAATATGCAGTAACAAGCTTGGAAAAGTTAGAAGACAAGGAGTTTGCTTGTAGCTACTTAGCTTCTTTGCACGTTAGCGCTGAAACTCCAGAAGACGCTGATTGGCTGGAATAAAAGTTCACCTGTGATTTCATTGGTTTAATTTTTTTACCTTTTCATAAACTTCCCTTGTCGCTACACACATCACGTGACACAGGTCTGTTTGACCAGAAGGGGGGTCCTTGCTTCCAGTCTGCACACATTTCTGAGCAGCATACAGACCGATTCAATTCAGTTCAGTTTATTTCTAAAGCTTCACGTCACAACAGAAGTCGTCTCAGGAACTGAACAGAAACATTCATGTATAAAATAATAATTTAACATTTTTTATCTCAATGGCCTTGACAGGTGTGTTGAAGGTAACTTCAGGTCCCCTGACTCGTGTTGTACCCGTTTCCCTCCTTCAGGGAACATTGGTTATCAATGACTCCATCAAACTTTATTTATAGAGCCCTTTCCAGCAGCCAAAAGGTGCACAAAGTGCAGCACAGTACAGAAGTTTAAAACAAACAATTAAGAATAATTTTAAAAAGTCAGCCAGTTAAAAACAAAAACAATTAAAACATAGCAAGATTGTCAAAGACCTACTAGGTATTAAAAGCCTGCCTGAATTAAAAGGTTTTAAGATTAGATTTAAAATGCTCCATGTCAGTGATGGTGCGCAGGTCCTGAGGTTGCTGGTTCCAGAGTCTGGGTGCAACGACAGAAAAGGCCCGGTCACCCCATCGTTTGTAGTTGGACTTTGGGACAGAGTAGAAATGTATTAGAAGATCTCAGTGTTCTCCTATATTCACGGACAGCTACAAGATTAGACAAATATAGTGGGGCAAGACCATTGAGAGCTTTAAAAGGGAATAATAAAAATTTTAATTTAATTCTAAAATCGACTGGAAGCCAGTGGAGAGAAAATAAAACAGGGGTGATGTGCTCACGTCTGGAGGTGTTGGTTAAAAGTCGAGCTGCAGCGTTTTGGACCAATTGCAGGCGTCTAATGGAGGATTGGGAGATTCCTGCATATAGGGAATTGCAGTAGTCGAGCCTTGAAGTTATAAAAACATGGATGGCCTTTTCCAAGTCAGAACGATTTAAAAAAGGCTTAACTTTGGATAAAAGACGTAACTGATAAAAACAGGCCTTGACTACAGAGGATATTTGTTTATCAAACTTTAAGTCTTTATCAAATGTCACTCCCAAGTTTTTAACTGTGGATCTGAACTTGGATGTCAGAGCACCAAAGTTACAAGGAGCATCATCACCAAAGAAAATGCATTCTGTCTTTCCTTCGTTTAAAAACAAAAAATTAAGATGAAGCCACTGTTTAATGTTGGCAATACAATCAGCGCAAGGTGTGAGAAGGTTCCTGTTTTTAGGTTTCATTGGTAAATAAATTTGTACATCATCAGCATAGCAGTGAAAAGAAAAATTATGTTTGGCTATCACTGATCCAAGGGGCAGCATGTACAATGAGAAGAGGACAGGACCAAGAATAGAACCCTGTGGCACACCACAAGAGAGAGGGGCAGTGGAGGAAGACAGATTATTCAGCATGACACAGAACGTTCTGTTGGTCAAATAAGCAGTGAACCACTTGAGAGCTGTACCAGAAACTCCAACATAATGTTGGAGACGAGACAACAGGACAGCGTGGTCCACTGTGTCAAACGCAGCTGTAAGGTCCAGCAGCACCAGAGCAACGGGACACTTGACATCCATGGACATGGAAATGTCATTATGGACTTTTAACAGGGCTGATTCGGTAGAATGACGGGTTCTAAATCCAGACTTGAAATGTTTCATAGATACCATGGTTTTCTAAAACAGGTTGTAACTGCATAAAAACAACTTTTTTTAAAGACTTTAGCTAAAAAAGGCAGATGAGGAATAGGTCTAAAATTTGATAAAAGTGATGGGTCTAGGTGAGGTTTTTTAAGAAGGGGCCTAACCACAGCATGTTTAAATGCAGCAGGGACAGTTCCTAAACGAAGGCAGGAGTTTAAAAATGTTAAATTACAAAAACCCACAGAATTAAAAACCTCTTTCAAAAACATGGAGGGAAGAACGTCCAGTGGGCAATTAGTGAGCTTCATGTGTTGAACAACATCAGTGAGAGTGGCAAGGGATACTGGTTGAAAGTGTTCAAACACGACTGGAGCTACAGAACCAGTGACCGGTCTGACTGAGGCCACTTTATCCTGGAAGAATTTTAGAAAGTTTTCACAGTTAGTGGCTGTGGCATCTGGTGAAATACGCACAGCTGGCTTAATAACAGAATTAATTGTGTTAAATAACACTCTAGGACAATGGCAGTTATTTGAAATTAAACCAGATAAATAGACATTTTGCCTCTTACAGATTTCTGGTAGTTTATAAGGCATTCTCTCAAAAATGTAAGAGATGAAAGAAGTTTGTCTTTCTTCCATTGTTGTTCTGCTTTCCTACATGTTTTCCTGAGAGCGTGAGAGGCGTCGTTTAACCACGGTTCAGCTCTCGGTTTGGTGGATTTAAACCAAAGAGGAGCGATGGAGTCTAAAATATAGATTATATTCATAACCTCCAGTTAATGAACTGTTTGTTTGTTTGTTTGTTTGTTTGTTTGTGTGCACGTGCAGCGCTGAAGATCCACGTGTCGGCAGCGACCCGGGACGTCCTGATGGACTTTAACTGCTTCCAGCTGGAGCTGAGAGGAAGCATCGAGATCAAAGGCAAAGGGAAGATGACCACCTATTGGCTGCTGGGAGAGACCGACAGCCAATGAGGACGCAGAACACATGGAGGAAGACATGAAGGAAGACACAGGAAGTGGTCTCGTTGTGTGCACCACATCTGTCAGTTTGTTTGAACTAAAGGACTTTGTGAGAGAACATTCTGCTACGTTCTGGTACCAAGGAACACAAACCTCGAGTGGGACAGAAGAACTAGGTTCTGTGTTGGGACAACAGGGACACCTGTACCTGGACTTCTATTTCAGCTGCAAAATAGAAGTCCACTTTTGTTTTTTAACTGTTTTATGAGACTCCGCCAGCATTACTTATAGTTTCCAGCAGTTAGCTACAAATGGTAAATGGATTGTACTTACACAGCTCCTTTCTATCTAATCCAGATACTCAAAGCTGTTTTCAACAATCTGCCTCGTTTACCTCCACACACATTCATACAGCTCTATACTAGACCTCTACAAAGATTCATCAGAGCTTTGTCACATTCATTCACCAATGGGACACACATCAGAGACTGTGAGGGGTTCAGTGTTTTGCTCTGGGACACTTCAACATGTGACTGGTCCAGAATTAAGCAGCCCCATTTTTAACCAGTACAGGCAAAAGAGAACACATTACTCCAGTTTTGGCCTCCCTGCACTGGTTACCAGTTCACTTTCGAATCCAGTTCAAAATACTCATGTATGTCTACAAATCACTGAACAGTGTCTCCCCCCCCCGCCCCCAATCTCTCTGATCTGCTACAACCGTATGTCCCACCACGCTCCCTGAGGTCAGTGGACCAGTTGCTCCTCACAGTTCCAGGAACTCGTCTAAAGCGCAGAGGTGACAGGGCCTTCTCTGTAGCAGGACCAAGACTTTGGAACGAGTTACCTCTGCTTGTCAGACAGGCCCCTCCCTCTCGGTTTTCAAGTCCCGTTTAAAAACTCACTACTATTCAGTAACTTTCAACACCAGATGATCTGTGTTTTGATCCTGTACGCTCCACACTGGTTTGTCGTCATTATCTGCATCATTTTTATGTCTATATTCTACCATACCACTTTATTTATAAAGCACTTAAAACAGCTACAAGGCCAACCAAAGTGCTGTACAGACAGAACAACAGGTAACACACAAAGCAAAATACAAAATGAGGTAAATCAGAATAAAGACATAAAAACGATAAGACGAGTTCCTGGAACTGTGAGGAGCAACTGGTCCGCTGACCTCAGGGAGCGTGGTGGGACATACGGTTGTAGCAGATCAGAGAGATTCCATTCAATTCAATTCAAAAATACTTTATTAATCCCAGAGGGAAATTATTTGTTGTTGTAACTCGTTATCCTCATTTTATTAAGAGATGTTATAGATGCTGATGCTGTAGACAGGAAGGATCTCTTGTAAAGGTCCATCCCACAGTGGATCCTAAGAAACTGCCTGCAGATGCCGTCTGATCCGTCCACCCAGACTCTGCTGGTCTCTCGGTTCCCCCGGGCTGTAGGACCGCCCCAATGCCGGGCAGAACTCCTCCCACAGCGATGACCACTCCTCCCAACAGTCTGCCGAGCTCCTCGTCTCTGTGGACATCCAACTGTAGGTGCCGAGGGACGATCCTGTTCTTCTGCTGTCATGAGCCGTGTTTCCTGCTAGTTCCAGGATCTCAGTGATCAGGCACTCGAGCACAGCTGGCAGGTAGATGAGAATGCATCCACAGAACATCCTTTCAACTCATTTGAGATTTGGGGCTGTAGTTGAGATATTATTTGAGCTTTTGAGATGTTAATCAGCTGCTGTTGTTGTAGAAAACTGCCTTGTTGCCATGGTTACGCATCATAACAAATGTCCAAAACTAAAAAAGTTTCAGTAAAAATCCTTCCAGCTGCACAGCATCTGATACCAGAGGAAACAATCATCCAGAAAATGTGATTTACATCCAGAAAAAGAGGAATTAAAGTTTCCAAAAGCAAAATCTCAGAATGAAAGTAGAGCTGCTCCAACATGCAGACACCTGGAGCGGAGCAATTCTGGAACAATTCTAGAATTACTTCCATAACTGAGCTTCTCTAAATCTCTCAACTTGTTCTGAGGTTTTTATGTCTATATTCTGATTTACCTCATTTTGTATTTTGCTTTGTGTGTTACCTGTTGTTCTGTCTGTACAGCACTTTGGTTGGCCTTGTAGCTGTTTTAAGTGCTCTATAAATAAAGTGGTATGGTATGGTACAAGAACCCTGCAGATGTTGGATGCTGCAGATGTTGGATGCTGCAGATGTTGGATGCTGTCTATCATGGTGCACTAAGATTCATAACTGGCTGTAACTACCGTACCCACCACTGCACCCAGTATTCACTGGTTAACTGGTCACCATTAACTTCACACAGACTCTCTCACTGGTACATCTTCATCTTTAAATCACTTCCTGGTCTGCTGCCTTCATACATCTCCTCCTACATGTCTCTGTGTGAGTGCAGCTACAGCGTGCGCTCTCAGGACATCATTACCTGCAGTGTTCCCTCAGTGAGGACTGAACTAGACAAAAGGACCTTCTCCTACTCTGCTCCTGTTTCCTGGAACATCTTACAAAAAGATTTGAAGCTCTCGACCTTTGACCTCTCTAAGTGGCTTTAAGAATCTGTTGGACTCCTGGCAGGGACCAATGCAGACATGTTCCTGTTTTTAGTTTTTACATTCGCCTTAGAATCTAGATGTTTTTTGTTAACTTTTCTTTTTTTAGCCATCCTATTTGTTAAAATAAAGCTGTATGACTTTTTATAATTCCTGATGCATGCTCAATAATCCAGGTAGAAAAATCCAAAAAAGTTCAATCTGGTCCTCTGGACATTCAAAAAAACAAAACAAAGTAAAAAATTGTAGAAACGTTTCGTCTCTCATCCTGAGGACTTCCTCAGTCTGAGGTGCTGTATTCAGCTCAGTCTCTTAAATAGCACCTTCTCAGAGTGGATCAACCAGTTTGCTGCTGACAACCAGAACCAGCTGATCACATGCTCAAGAAGGACCATCAGCCTAACAATGGATCATTAGCACCTGATGGCTGTTTACTGTTCACAGAGGGCTGAGTGATACTAGCAATCACAGCATTGTAAGAGGGGGACAGTTGAACCTGGAGGCTCCACCCCTGTTTAATGATGGACGGTTTCTTTTCACAAAGATGGCCTCCTTTACTCCTCTCTCAAACCATCGTTCCTCTCTGTCCAGGATGTGAACATCTTCATCCCTGAAAGAGTGACCTCTGGCCTGGAGATGAGTGTAGACCTCAGAGTCCTGGCCTGATGATGTTGATCTTCTGTGCTGGTCCATCCTTTTGGCCAGTGGCTGTTTAGTTTCCCTGATGTAAGACTGATCACCCTCCTGACACTGAACAACATACACAATATTACTCTGTTTGTGCCGGGGGACTGGATCTTTGGGATGAACCAGTCTTTAATGTATTTTGGGGTTTAAAAGCCACTGGGACGTTATGTTTAGAAAATAAACGTCTCAGTTTCTCTGATACCCCCTCAACATACGGAATGACCACTGGTCTGGGTCTGGGTTCCTCCTTTTCACCTGATGGCTGACTGGAGTCCTGTTTGGGTTTCTTCTTTCAGGAAGGCCCAGTTAGGATATCCACATTGCTCTAGAGCCTGTCTTGTGTGGGATTTCTCCTTCTGCCTGGCTCCTGAGCTAGTGGGGACGCTGTCTGCTCTGTGGTACAGAGTCCTGATGACTCCTAACTTGTGCTCCAAAGGGTGATGGGAGTCAAACTGCAAATACTGGTCTGTGTGGGTGGGTTTGAGGTACACCTCAGTTTGCAAATGTCCTCTATCAGAGACTGAGACCTCACAGTCCAAGAAAGCCAACCTGTCATTTTTTACATCTTCTCGTGTGAACTTGATGTATTTATCCACAGAGTTGATGTGGTCAGTAAAATGTTGGACTTCCTGAGATTTAATTTTAACCCAGGTGTCGTCAACATACCTGAACCAATGACTTGGTGGTGTCCCTGAAAAGGACATCAAGGCTCTCTTTTCTACCTCCTCCATGTACAGGTTGGCAACAATAGGAGAAACTGGAGACCCCATAGCACACCCATGTTTCTGCCTATAATATTGCTCCCCATATGTGAAGTAGGTTGACTGCAGGCACAGTTTCAAGAGTTGACACAGTTGTTCTGTGGAAAGCGTGGTCCTGCTGCTCAGAGTGGTGTCTGATTTTAATTTTAAACTGACCACCTCTACTGCATCATCAACAGGAATGCACGTAAAGAGTGATGTGACATCAAAAGAGACCATTGTTTCATCAGTCTCCATGATGACATCCCTCACCTTATCCACAAAGTCCATGGTGTTCTGTATGTGGTGTTCTGAGCTGACAACCTTTAGTTGGCAGCTGGCAAGTATAAGTATATCAAGTATACTACACACCATACTTGTAGTGTACTAGAAGTATACTGATTTAATACTTGTTTGGACTAAATTGGGACATTTTTATACTATTTTTAAGTATATCAAATAAAATGCATAAAAAGTCAACTTCAAGTACACTTCCTCATTTTGAGTTTAAAATAAGTATACTTGTAGTACACTTAAATAAACTACTTTTTTCTCAGGGCACCGGCGACCCCCGTGACCCAAAATGGAAGAAGTGGGTGAAAGATGGATGGATCTTTTTTTAACTGAAACAATTTTATAACCACTACTGCAAAAAAGATGGAGTCAGCTGAGGTGGAGACATCGCAGCTGGAAACAGTAGGACTTGATGTTCGCTGCCTGATTGACCTGAACACACGAGCGCGTGCAGCAGCCTGCGAAGGTATTTATAACGCTGGTAATACCTTGTCAATCTGTCACCTACGCTCTTCACATTATTTTATATGTTTAAAGTGCACAAGATGAAAAATATTTGCTAGGACCTCTTTAACGACGAGCGGCCACGAGGTAACCTTTGATAAATCCTGTTTTAAGTTCGACACAGCAGCTAAAGCTCTGCGTCTTGTTCCTGTCGTTTCACATGATTCATTAAAGCGCCTGTTTTAAATAAAGACGCCGCGCCTGAGTCGTCCCTGCGAGTTACACCTGGGCTCACCTTGAACTAGACATGCCACGTGAAACTGGAGGGACGAAAAGTGACTGCTGCTACTTACTACTCCACCGGCCTCAACCTGCTCCACAAGCCTCGCTTCACCAAGTCTACACCAAAACTTCATACACAAAGTACACATACTGCCAAACACACAAAGTACACGTACTGCCAAATACACAAAGTACACATACTGACAAATACACAAAGTACACATACTGACAAATACACAAAGTGCACGTACTGCCAAACACACAAAGTACACGTACTGACAAATACACAAAGTACACATACTGACAAACACACAAAGTACACATACTGCCAAACACACAAAGTACACATACTGCCAAACACACAAAGTACAC